TCAGCCTCAACAAGAGGCTCTCATAAATGAAAGTAAAGTTTTACAATGATCCATCACCCAGACCATCATACTACCACGCTGTCTGGATACAACAACAACTGAGACTTCTCAAAGTCGAAGTGACTAAATAGTACGTAGTCTTTTAGTAGACAAAATAAGCAAACTATTAAAAAAAAAACGTTAATAAAACACCATCAAAATAGCTCTACGTTACCAAACACCACATTTCAAAACACAGGCCTCGACCTCGACATTCCCACAGAATGTCCCTCCAGTGGCGGAACTAGAAAAAAAAGGCCCCCCGCAGAATTTTTTTTGGGCACCTATATATATATATATATATATATATATATATATATATATATATATATATATATATATATATATATATATATATATATATATATATATATATATATATATATATATATATATATATATATATATATATATATATATATATATATATATATATATATATATATATATATATATATATATATATATATATATATATATATATATATATATATATATATATATATATATATATATATATATATATATATATATATATATGGAAAACAAAGGTCGCTCTAAATTTAAAAATAAAATTCTATCCGGTACACGAATAAATCATAGGTTTTCCAACATACGAGCTGGCCCCATTCAGTTTTCCATGTGAGAAGCACGGACTCTCTAAATCTAGTCCAACGCTCCAAACTGACGCCGATTTTTATGAGGCTTTCATCAAAACGTTACCAACCGTGTGCCCTGTTTTCCAGAAGTTGAATTAAATGTTAACAATGTCGGCAGTTCATTTCTTGGATCTTAGGGCGCGGGTTTGTCCACATTACCAACTAGACACGCCATGGCATGCTGTAAGTCCCTTGGCGACGGCCCAGGTGTCAGGGGAGTAACGGGGCTCTTGGAGCTACCGGTTACATTACTGCACGGGTGATGGGTGCAACACATTGTTTCTTCCGGCAGAGCTCCCCCCTCCCCTCCCCCAAAAACAGTCTACCCTGGAAGAAACATTGGTGCGACACCTAATTAGATTTAGTCATCGAGTATTGTAGCTAGACTTATTCCTAGTGTTGTGGGAACTTATAAACGACTGTCTGTGGGGGCCAACTTGCTCATATGTGATGCGCTCAGGATGACACTGCCGCCGGTTGTATTCAAGTAGTAACCTCATCCGCTTATGCAGGATCACGGGGCGCTAAATCACATCACATATTTCCGTTAGGAGTCCCCACTCCAATATGTACAAATGTTAGGCCTATGACAGAAACCTTTGCGGGGCTGTACTCAACAGCTTCCCAAGTTTTCATGGCGATTGGGTGAATGATGCAGTAATGCTTAATAGACAGAAAAATGTTTTTCACATGTACAACTGTATGTGGCCAGGTCACGCGTTGGATAACCTTCTGATTTAGGTGAGGGGGGGGGGGGGGACTAACAAAAAGCCAGACCCTCACAAACCCCCACCTCAATGACGTCATTTATAAATAGTAATTGACTATTAATAATGTTCAATTAATTCTAAACGTAATTAATTTCTAAATAATTATATAAAAAATAATCTTACCTGCCCTGTTTTGTGAATTAGATGTGCCAAATACTATGAAAGTAAATTAATATCTTTTGACTAGATCTAGTCTAGTGTCTGACAAAATGTGCTGCAGTGGTGAATCGTACGGTTAGGAAGTAGTTCATAAACGATACATTTATCTCCTCGATACTTGTGAGGTTGAGAAAGAGGGATGGGATAGGTGTCGGCTCAGGAAAAAAACTTGAAAGAGACAACAAAACGCCTTGATCTATGTACGTCAGCATCGCCCATTGTAAAACTTACTCAGGGGAGATTATTCCAAGTATAGGCTTTAACCCTTTATTTACGGAATTATGTTCTGAATGAATTTTTTTCTTAAACAACGTTTTATCATATTGCATTTGGCATATTTAAAGCATATGTCGAAGGAAATTTCGTTTCATAAATTTTTAATGGCCCAAACAGATATTGGTACTTATAAGTACCGTCAGGAATGTAGGACATTTTTTCCAAAAAAAATTTTTTTTACAAAACAGGAACAAACGATACAATTTATTAACTAATAACATGGCAATCATTATAACCGTCATTTTTTTTTAATTTTCACACATAAATACAGCACAAAAGTAGGCTATATTTTGAGTACGATTTTTATTGGATTTTCTATCGGAACACATCTTAGACCTAAAACACAGCAAAAGTTGCCGACATGTCATGCTCCCTCATTCTTGTCTGTGGTCATTCTGGTGTAGCAACGGTTGCCGCACTGAACATGCTTTTGCTGGAAGCTTCCAATAGCTATTACTTACAATGAGCCGCATAAACAAACAAAAGCCTAGTCATTCAGTACACAACTACTAGTAATACTAGTATAATTGTAGCCTACTAGAATGTTATGACAAGTCGACACTACAGTGTAAAGTTCATAAATAGAAGTGAGCTCAATGTGTTTAGGATAGCCGAAGTGGCCTACTGTTTCCTGGTTACGGATTAAAATTTACCATAGAGATCTATACTATATGCAGAAGTATCGACTATTACTAGTCTACAGATATACATTATGTAAATACTAGTTATTGTATGCAAGACAGTTTATTGCAGTAAATATAATAAACAAATTAAATCTTAATACTAGAACTAGGCTTTGGTATACAAATGAAGTATACTAAACCTAGTAAACGAGCCTGCAACTGCTACCTTTATTCTTGTTATTCTTTTACTACTAGAAATTAACATGTAATTGTAATATTTCTTAGGTAAACCATATGCTAACCTTCTTATAAATGTGTAAATATCATTTTTTGAGTACATTTCGATAATTAATTATCAAAATAATATTTATGTCACTCCACATCGAAAATCTGCCATTTCCTAAAAATCCTAAAAAAATGTCCGTGTGCCCTGACGGTACTTATAAGTCCACTAGTAAACATCGATCTAATACAAAGACAATTTGATTAAAATTGTATAACTAGAAGTTAAACATGTTTGCCTGACTATTGGAGATGCCAAAAAAAATATTTGGGGATGAAAACTTGAAGAATAAGGTAAAACAAAAGGAAATCAGGAACGTGTGTGAGAACGTTACAGAACAATTGTAAACTACCGATACAACAAGACATTGAAATTGGCGCCATACCAAAAATTTTCAAAGTACATCGATCTCTCCAACTACCGGCTACTCAGGGGAGATAATACTATTAATTAGATCAATAATTTTTAAAATTCGTGTTAAATTAAAAATTATACAGGCACTTAATTAAAGTGGTACTTATAAGTACCTTCAGTAGATAAAGGGTTAAAAGTTTACTATGATATTTCATGTAAAAGCAAAAACAACTAAACATATAAAACTGAAGTTTCTAGTATTATATTATTTTTTTATTATTTGTAGGATGCAAGATGGTACAGGATACAAATTCAACCACTATCACAAACACATTAACATTGAAACATGTACAATGGATTTCGGGTACCTTACCAATTTCGCAAAGAAGAACCGCGCATCATGAAAGCCCACTTCATATGTAGCGGCTTATCGTGCTATGGACTTTGATGTTTTTTAAAAAGAATTTTGCCGGCGACAGCGTGTGTTTGATTGTAGGGAAATAGAACTCGGCCTTGACGATGGTTAAAAAATACAACTATAAATAACTGTTTTAAATATGTAAAAAATATGTCGACTATTTTTGAACCCCCTTTTTGGTACCCATCCCCTGACCCATCCGCCACCGTACACTTTGGCTATTAAAGGGGGGGGGGGCAACGAGTCAAAGAAGTCATTCAAATTTGAAGAGTTACCCATATTTTACACTGTAGTTTGTGTAATGGATTTTATCTTTTGCGTAAGAGCGTGGTATAGTGACTGTAAAATAAAGATAATCGTACCGCAGCTACAGTGTTTTTCTTTTACAAACCAAATATTAAGGCAAAAATGCACGAAAATTAAATTCAAAATTTTGAAAAATATTAATTTTGGTCAGCCGTGGGCCCCTAAACGGCCTGCCCCCCCCCCCCCCACACCGCTCATTGCGGGGTCTGGCGGGACTGTAGTTCCGCCCCTGTTCATCAAGCAAATGAACAACTTCTGACTAGTGTCTTTAACAAAATGTGCAGAAGTGGTCAGTTTACAGTTCAGTAGTTCATAGACTGTTCGTTAATCTATGCATTACATCTTATTGTAAGAGTAAGGGTGTGGTGAGGGGTAGAGATGAGGGGTAAGGGTGAGAGGGGGGAGGGGAGAAAGTAGGGAAGGTTCATTGGAAGGGGACAAGAAAGCGCCGATAAACATCTACATCAATAGTGCCGACTTTTTCCGGTCGTCTAGAAGACGAGGATAGTCGCCGCAACATTTCCCATGCCCGATTTCAAAGCGTGCCGGCACAGTCAAATTTCAGATGCTTCGCTGAAGGGAGATAACTTAAACTTTTACAAGTTTATTGATACAGTTGTTAAAGTAAAAATGAACGCAATTATAAATGTATGAGATCGAAATAAATAATTATATTTTGTGTAGAATTTAGGCCAGTAGTTTAAACACACAATCATAGATATGTATTTTAATAATGTAAACAATATAACAATGCTTTTTTTGATCTAATCGACGCCACTAAAAAGAACGGTAGACTACGTCTTTGAAGTTGTCTATATGTCTGGCGGTCTCTCGAGCTATAGTCTGTGCATTTTTCTCAAAGACGTTTGCCAACTATCGTGTTTGTTTGTAACTGTAGAAGAAAGATAACTCGACCTCCACCTAATTTTTTTTTATTTAAAAAATATTTTTTTAATAATTTAGCCAGGATTTTTGGGCCCCCAATCGGTCTGGGCCCCCCGCATTGCGGGGTCTGGCGGCACTGTAGTTCCGCCCCTGTGTCCCTCCCTGTCCACACACCGCATTCACGAATTAAAAACCAATACATTAATGTAGTTTTTTTTAAATTTTCAGGTGTACAGATTGACATGAACAGAGACTATTTTTACCACGGCAAGGATTTATTTTGTGCACAACTCCAGTGTACAGAAAACATAAGAGAAGACACTCAGATATCAGCTCTTGTCAACATGTCAGTCTATAGGATCAGTGAACCAGAGGGCAAGATTTTGGTGGCGTCTATTTCAGAATCAGATTCAAAGCTTAAAGATTATAAAAGGGCTGGAACAAGAGTAGATGGGAAAATATCGAAAACATTTTCTCAATTGGACATTTTTTTCTCGAATCATTCAGACTGCAATGTTGGCCATTTTCTATGTGAAATACATTATGTGAATAGAACTGGGTCAATTGATAGAATTGGGAAACAGGCGGAGAGTTTACCAAGAAAATCACGTGACATATTTCTAATGATGAATTTAAAAGCTAAAACTTCTGACTATGTTAAATCTGTTGACACAATGGCCGACTTTCTCAAATCGTTTGAAGACCCAGACAGACTAAAAGGTGCAGACATGACAATGTCATTACAGATGTCACATTCTGGCGGCGATAAGTTCAACACAGACAAAAGTTTTGGTCGAACAGATACAGAGTTAAGTAACAGTTATAAACATATAAGTTCTTCTACATTTGAGGACATGTTGGATGATAAGCTAAAGAATTTAACCCTTGATGTAAACAAAACATTACAGATGACGGAACACAAACTGAGTTCGAAGACAGAGTTAAACAAAAATAGTTTGGCTGTTTTAAACGAATCAATTCAAACAATGTTAGCCAACAGTCAGAACCAAACAGAGCAACTCAGTATCAGATTAAATGAGAATGAAACAAATATAAAGAAATCTATCACACAAGAGAATATCAATACAACATTAAATTTGGTAGCGGGTCTCAACAAAACTCTACAAGATTTTATAAACGAGTACTACGATAATCCTATGAACTTAAAATTAACAAAACAGGTTAACAATTTTTTATGCTTATCTTTTACGTGAAAAAAATAATTTTCATTGAAATAAACTATTATGATTGCCGTAATAAATTGCTTTTATCAATCTTCATTTAACTAAATTATTTTGATTAGTACATAATGTTAAAATAATTATATACTATTAAAAAAAGTACAGTTATTATAAAATTCCATTTTATAAATCTAGGTAATACAAAATTGTATTAGACCAGAAGAAAATAATGCTTTTCAACTTGAATGTATAGCCTTAGCTTAAAAAATATATCGTAATTGATTGTTTTAAAGTGTGTCAGGAACGATGACTTAAGTCTCCCAGAACAAATGGCTTTTAAACTGGATCAAAGAAAACTGGCCTTGTGTGATACAAAAACTGATGGCGGGGGGTGGATTATTATACAGGTAATTTATGCTTCTATTTTTGGTAATCAATGTTAACGTTAGAGTATCCTGTTAAAATGTTTTCCATATTAATTAGCATTTCCTAAATTATGTCCCCTAATTTAGTCGAATTGATACAAGGTCTAATTATGTATATTATATTAAAGACATAAGATTTTTTTAAAGGGTTTAAGACTAAAATCATTAGGGTAGCCAGGATCGTCTCAAAGCGGAGGGAGGGGGGTTCAATTATTTCCCATTATATATATATATATTATATTATATATATCAATATATATATATATCAATATATATATATATATATATATATATATATATATATATATATATATATATATTTATATATATATATATCAATATATATATATATATATATATATATATATATATATATATATATATATATATATATATATATATATATATATATATATATATATATATATATGTTTAAGCTGTAAGTCATTGCTTAGCTATTATATAACATAATTTGCAAGAAACACTCAGAGAAGACAAGAAAAAAAACACAATATAGGCCAAAAGAAACAAAAACAATTTATCACTATAAACAAAACAAAATGAATAAATAAACACACAATCAAAGAAAAAACAATGTACGCAGCACAATCTGTTTTGTAATGCGTTAAAAAAAATTGACATAATAATTCGTGGGAGCTAGGGGAAATAATTACTCTCTTTTGTTATAGATATGTATGTCTACACATTTTTTTAGAAATATCAGAACAGATAAAAAATTACTTAGTATGTAATATATTAGCTTAACATTATTCGTCGTTTTACAAAAAATATGTTGTCTACAGTCAGAATTAAATATATTGTTATCATAAATTATAAAATATTACATCATAATTACATTTTTGAAACCACAGCTTTTATAAACCAAGCGTTTCTATATAATATTAAACCAAATGTTATAGGTGGAACGTTCTGAATAATAACCAATACAGAAAATGGTGTCTGATGTCCAGAGGGACAGTGTCATAGAATCATACAGGCAGATGAAGAAAAAAAAGTGAAATATTTATGACAAGATGTAAATACAAAGCTGCAGAGTGTAAATAAAGAACGATACATCTAAAAAAAAATATAGCTTACATATGAATAAAAAAAAAATAGCTTACATATGAATAAAATATTGGACTTGCAGTTCAGATCATACTGTTTTTTGTGTTCTTTAAAGACCATTTTTTAACATAATGATAAGGCCTGGGTTAGATAATTGTATTGCTAACACACCTCTTGACTTGTAATTGCAAAAGCAATATTCACCACGATTTACCTGTTTCAAAATCTATGATTCTGACTGCATGGTACTTTGTTACCCTAATAAGCGCTTGCTAAATATACTTAACTGCTTAGTTCGAGGTTTGTTGGGGGGGGGGGGGGTCCACTTCATTCAGCACTATCCGGTAACTTCATGTCTCATATCTTACCCAGCGTATACATAGGTGTGACATTAAAGTCGCTCTGCACAATTACGGCCGTTTCCGCTCTGATGGTTAGGTGGGGAGGGGGTTGGGGGAAAATTAACTCCGAGTGAACATAGGGTAAGTTTTTAGATGACTGTTCTAAACATATATATATATATATATATATATATATATATATATATATATATATATATATATATATATATATATAATTAGCACCCCCCCCCTGGGGTCCAGGGGGGGGGGTGTTGTAATACACAGAAACCGCCCCTGCTACTCCACCTTATAAAACATACTAAAAATACTATACGAATATTTGAAAAGGGTGTTTCAAAAGATTAACTTACAAGTTGTTTTTGTAATGTATTGAAGCATAATTGAATTGACGTTACAATACATATGGTGCCGTAAGAAATAGATATAAGTATTACCTTTATAAATACAGGGAATCTTTACCCTGTGCTAATAAGTCTGTGGTGTGCTTTTTGGGTGATTACAGCACAACGCTTATCTCCATTAATTTAGAAATAGCGTAGCATATTCCTCTACTCAACACACATTTTAAAAATACAAATTTAAAAAAAAACTTCGATTAATAGCGCTGCTGATATTCTGGTGTATTCCAAAATATTACTAACTTTATCTTAACTGACTCGTTCTAACCTGTTTCATCAATTACCATTTGATTAGCTCGCAATATTTTATTTTTTGAATACTGGTTCTAATTATAACACTTTCTTGACTTGATGGCCATATCTGATTAATTTTCTGGTTGGTTCCTTCAATTATTACCAATCGTTTTTTCTTACATAACTAATATTACACTACTTGTGCAATTGCGATTAAGTGTAGAAAGTTTTTCTGGTAAAATTAGTAAGCGTCTAATTTCGTCAATAGTAGTGGTAAATAAAGAGTTTAGTGAGATAATAATGATCGAGTGTGTGTTTTAATGTTGTGGTTTTAGATTAGTTTTAAATATAGCTATTTGTAAGATAAGCTTATATTGACATGCGTTTCTATTATTCTTGGATGATTTTACAGTATTGCTTTTATATATTCTTGTAGTTTAATTAGTATAGTATTATATACGTCCAATTTAACTAAATAAATATCTTTAATCATAGTTTCTAGTATATATACAGCTGTTAATTTTTATCATCTTTTGTTGTATATACTGACTAAACCGTCAACAGTTCCTAATAGGTAAAACAATATAATAGTAGGGGTCATTAAAAACATAAGTCTTTTTTTGTTTAGTTTTCAATTTGTCAAATCTATTTTGTAGATGTTCACATTGTTATTGTTTCAGAGACGTGTGGCAGGAGACGTCAGTTTCACCAGAAACTGGAGCGACTACAAATATGGTTTTGGATCTTTGGCTGGAGATTATTGGCTTGGAAATGACATAATCTCAAACCTCACACAAAACGTACGTTTAAATTTTAGTTTTTACTTGTATTATTTGTTTCACAATTAGTATTTTACACATTTTAATTGAAAAGTAGTATTGTTTTTAACATTAATATATGTTACATTCATTTATTAACTACAGTTGTAATGATGTAGGTTTCAGGTTATAGCAATTTATTGATTGTGGTCTTTAAGAGGGATAAGAGTCATAATGACAAAAATAATTTAAAATATTCATTTTCACAAATGTAACCTTAATTAAATATAAACTACCAATATAAAACGAACATAATACATAATACTCGGACAACTAACCCTCAACATCGGGAAATAATAAAAAAAAGTTTTCTCTTCTTTCACTGCTAAATGTGATTTCAATATGTCTCAATTATACATGGCCAGGTTTTCTCCCCTTTAAGTCTCTCAACCAGACATTGGAAATGTGAAATGGGATTTGTAATGTCAAACAAAATGAGTTAATCAGTTTTTGTTACATTTTCTTAAAAACCGATGGCGTGATCTCTTCTATAAAAAGCCGATTTTTAACAGTCCCTTTTAGATGGTCTCGGTCGCAAATTGTCTATCTCGAAAAAAATGTTTTCTGTTTTTTACATAAATCAAAAGCCAGTATGATTCTCCACAATGCCTGAAAATATTATAAAACTCTGCAAAATGATTATCGAGATATAATATTTGAACAAACTGGCTATTATTTCTCGCGCAAAAAAAATCTCAACGCAAAACGAATCATACGTTTTCTTTCATTATACCTTTTATGAGCAACGCAGTCGCACGCTGCAATCATACGATTTTACTCCACAGTAATCAAAGTATTTATAGGTAAGGATATTAGATTAAATATGTTAATCTATTCTATTATATTCTATCATTTTAAATAATCATAAGCAAAGAGTATTTGCTTAATATAGTCTATTTTCAGTTATCTTTTCGAGAACCAAACTGTTTTATTTACATTTTTATTAGGCTAACACAATGCATTAAAATTAGTTCTAAATTCTAGAATTTCAAATGACTATTCGGTTTAATACATAACAAGCATGCTTCAAGCGTTAACACATCGAAACTTTGACATGCTATAAAAATTAGTTTAACATATTTAGATTTCAGATCAAACATGAAATTATTTTATTACATAATCTTAAACTATATTTATGAATGCTACTATACAGCTGAGTAAGAAGGGTGCTTAAACTTAGCTAGCAATCTCAAGCTGTCAAGCAATAGCATAATGTCATTTTAGTAGTCTATAAGATATTCCATTCCGACTTAACAACAAAAGATAACTTATATCTTTCAAGATACAAACCTTTCTAAACAGACCAGTCTAACCACACAAGAGACCAGCCTCTCTAAACAGACCAGTCTTATGATACAACAGTCCAGCCTCTCTCGACAAACAAGTTTTGAAATCCAAGAGACCAGCCTATCCCAAAAGACCAGCCTCTATCGACAGAACAGCCACTCTCAACCGACCAGTCTTACCATCCAAGAGACCAGCCTCTCTAAAAAAGACCAGCCCTTCTCAATAGAACAGGCCTCTCTAAACAGACTATCAACAATAGACCAATATCTCTCACCACACAAGTCTTACAAACAAGAGATAAGCCTCTGATAACTTACCAGTATTATCTTACAAGAGATCAGACTCTCTCAACTATCCACTTTTACTATAAAAGTATAAGAGACAGTCATATCTCAAAACAAACCAGTATTATCATACAAGAGCCCAGCTCTCTGATCAGTCAACAGACCAGCCTCTCTCAATATACAGTCTGGTCTTTCAAGAATTCAATGCGGCAGACATTGCAGTACAACCTTGATGCTACTATTACTTCAAAGTCAATTAGCAGAACGTTGGCAAATACGAGCACCTACAAGCTTCGTAAACTTTAATTTCTACAGACTAACATTAGTTCTATGATGATTTGCCTCATTTTATGTAAACATTTTACTAAATTGAATGTTTTTAGTTTTCCGTGTGATTTTTGTATTCAAGAATACATTTTTGAAAATTGGATTATGTTCCTTTTTTATACGCATTAATTTGATAAGTATACAATAAGCAACTATTAATTACTGATCGATATTAAGGTTATACTAATCTACAAACACATCAACCACATACAAAAATACATTGTGATCATAGAAACATGTAATAAACATAGTTACAAAGAAAAAACTAAATCATCTCTACTCAAATTGAACTATCCTGTGTAAGTAAAATACACTCAAAAAAAAAAATACGAGCCCACAATAATTATCTAGTTCATATCAAGTGTTAAGGATTACTTAACAACATACACAAAACGATATCACGTTCCTTAGTCAAAACGCACGACGACGGCTGAGACCAAAATTCTCGGTTTAAAAACGGCTAAGTCTGAGATGGTCGGTTTGGCGGTGAGATTTTTAGAACTAACAAACCGTCTAACTTTTTAAAACTGCTATGATTTTGAATACATTAACAGAAATTATGTTAAAACGCTTGAGTATAATCGGTAAAGAGTTTCTTCGCACAAATCATTAAAAATAATTTTAATTCGAGCGATCGAGAAAGAAATAATTAGTTTTTTTTTTATCTCTCCTGTAAAACTTACATTTTCGGAATAAGAAGGTTTGCAACCGAGGCCATCGTTTTACTTTCAATATTGCCCCATAAACATTCTTAAACATATTTCTTTGTTATTGCTCATTGTTGATTTTTATGTTGTAATCTTTTAACCTATACATATACATTTGTATATTTACAGGGCTACAGTGAACTGAGGTTTGACATGAAATACAAAGGTAAATTCTACTACGCCGTATACAGCAATGTGACGGTGGGAAATGAAGCAGATTTGTATAGGATAAAGTTGACATACAAGACAGGAAACTCTACAGACAACTTTAGTTATCACAATGGAAAGGTTTTTTCTACTTTAGATAGAGACAATGATAAATCGTCTAGCAACTGTGCTGATAATTTTAAAGGCGGCTGGTGGTATGATTCCTGTTATCAAGTGAACCTAAACGGCGTGTGGGCGAGTAAAACTGAAATTGAAGGCATTCGCTGGAATGGTTTAACAGTCAACATAGATTCTCTGGAGCACGTGGAGATGAAGCTACGACGGCCGTGATCATGAAAAATAACACGAAAACAGAGCCTTGTGTTAACTCCGACTGGTGCATGATAAATTTACAATAGTTCGCCGACTTTACAAACACTGCTTTACATGTATGTAGATGTACTTTTTTTAACAATAAAAACTATTGCTTTAATTAGAGCTTAAGTTGAAACCAAACAAATAACAAAACCGCTTTCCCCAAACTAATGACAGGCTGTCAAATGCTGAGTCAAATTCTCTGTTGACTAGATGTTTGGTTCGGTAGACATCTGTCAGATAAAATTATAAATAAAATTTCAAAATGTAAATATACCTACAGTTGTTCTACTTTTATTTGTAAACTGTGTTTCATTGTACTTGTTTTACGTAAATGAATTGGTAAAAGGGAGTAAAGGGGAGTAACTATATTATACGAGTTGAGTTAATTTCTGATATCGTACACACATATTGCAAATACTGTCAAGACTAACAGTATTGAAGTTACAATTGGATTATTTTTTTAAAAACAGAAAATTTAAAGTTTATGAATGAATGAAATAGTTGTTAATAATAAAATATTGATATTTTCTTATTAGTGACGAACATGACCAAAAAGATCAAAGGGAGGATCAATTAATTATATACAATTAAAATAAAGATTTTCGTTGTATCAAACATGAGAGTATAATCTAACATGATAAAGTAAAATCGGGCTACATAAATATAGAAGTTTGCGACAAAATCTCTCGTTTTTTTAGACACCGGAACGTTCAGAGAATATGCCGCCTTATGATAATATAATATACAATTATCAAATTCTGAAGGTATTTGAGAAATTGGAAGCAGAAAAAATAACGATCCCAGACATTGGTGGTCACTTAAAAATTAAGGTATTGTACTTTATATATGTTGCGTCTATTTAAATGGAACTGGTAGTCAATTTCTTTTGGCTTCCCAAAAAAAAAGTACTACTTGCAGTTAAAATTACACAGTTAAATCTTTGAAATAACCTGGTTATATAATTTAATACTTACAGTTGAAGTTTCTACAACAAAATATAAACGATACTCAAGAAAATAGATTAAAGTGATTTTTTTGGGTTAAAACGAATATTGCTGAAAAAATTGATAGAAAGTTATGTATCGGATTTAATACGTATATATGAATCTTCGTTCACCTAACTCCTATTGTTAGCCGGTTCATAATCATACACATAGAGACACACATACATTCAGAGACCAGTGTTTCTTCAAGAAATTTTCTCCGTGCGTGTGGGGGGACGGGGGACGGGACACTTTATATTTCCTGGGGGGGGGGGCGAACACTGGTCCAATTATGTTTTATAAATAAAGTCCATATAGTTCGGGGGGGGGGGGGAAGGGGGCGGGCGGTAGACTTTCTTCAAGGGGGGTACATCCTCCCCCCCCCCCCCCCCGAAGAAATGCCTGGAAGAAACTCTGACAGACACATACATAGAAATATATAGACAGACACACACACAAATACTGATGGGATTTTTTAAAAGTGTCAATTTAGTGTAAAATTTAATCAGATTTCTTGCCCGATTACAATATTTTCTCTTTCCTCAGTATACAGGAACATAAAAAAACTATCTTCTTCTATCTTCTCTCTCTCTCTCTCTCTCTCTCTCTCTCTCTCTCTCTCTCTCTCTATATATATATATATATATATATATATATATATATATATATATATATATATATATATATATATATACATATAAAGCAATGTATTTCTGTGTGTCTGTTTGTCTTTTATACATTACCACACCTCTCATCACATCGCCGTGAAACTTTGGAAAGTTGTTGTGAATATTTCTGGGGAGGTTTCTGTGAAAAAAAAATAATTCAAATTCGCAGGGCAGACGCCCCGGCAGGGTTCAATATGTCTTTTCTCTATAAACTGTATATAAAAATAAATGTCGATTGCGGTTACTCGCCGTTCATCCGATCTCCATCGACTTTGGTGAGTTCATAAGAACACTCCAGGGAGAGGTTCTGTAAAAAATCATTTTTAATTTCGCAAGGGCGGCGCCACAGGAGGGTACGATTTTTCTCTATGTACGGTATATAAAAATGAAAGTCGATTTTGATTTCACAACGTTCATCCGATAGGCATGAAGCTTTGGGGAGTTGATTAGAACTTAACCTGGAAGGGTTCTGCAAAAAATGTTTTTTTTTAATTTCGCAAGGGCGGAGCCAAGAGAGGCTGCGATTTTTCTCTCTATATGGTATATAAAAATATAAAAAATTAATTGCAGTGACACCGTTCACACGATCGCCATGAAACTTTGGTGAGTTCATCAATACACTCTACGGAAAGGTTCTGTAAAAAATCATTTTTAATTTCGTAAGGGCGGTGCACCGGGAGGATGCACTTCTTCTAAATTTACGATATATTAAAAGAAATGAAAGTTGGATAAGTTCTACACCGTTTATCCGAGTGCCATAAAACTTAAGGGAGTGGATGAATACTCCCGATGAGGTTTCTGGGGGGGGGGGGGGGGGGGGAGGGATTAAATTTTACACTGGCGGCCCCCAGCTTGATGCGATTTGGCGCCCTGGTCTTTGCAGTGTGCGCTATGGCGACTACGTTCGTTCTAAACAGTATGATAGACAATGGATAAGATAGGACGTTACAATCACTCAATTAATTGAATCAGACGAGTCCGCTGGTAAAGTGGGATTCTATTCGAAAATACTTTGGCTGTTTTGAACGAATGCAAACAAAGCTAGCTAACACACATAACCAAACAGAGCAACTCAGTGTCAGATTAAATGAGATGGAAACAAACAATACAAAAACTGTCACACAAGAGAATATTAATTCAACTTTACAATTGGTAGCAGGTCACAACAAATCTTTACAAGGTTTTATTGACAAGTACTACGATAATCCTATGAATTTAAATTTAACAAAACAGGTAAATAATTTTAATGAAGTATAATTTTTTTGACAATGTTTTATGTCTATCGTTTTACGTTAAAAAGTAAATTTTATTGAAAGTTACTATTATGATTGTCATAATAAACTGTGCTTTCAGAAATTCACATCAAGCTACATCATTATATTAGTAAATTAGGTAAAAATCAATAATTATTCTTTGAAAAGTGCAGAATCGATGTAAATATACAATATTACCTTATTAATCTAGGTGGTATAAAGGGCATTGAGGTAGATGAAAAAAATTCAGTTCAGCATTCTTTTGTGTCTTTTAGCTTTTAAATTTTTTTTAATGTTTTCTTGTGTGTCAGGAACAATAACTCAAGTCGCCAAATACAAACGGCTGTTTTACTAGGTGAAAGAAAACTGGCCTTGTGTGATACCAAAACAGACGGTGGAGGATGGATTGTTATACAGGTACTGTGTGCTTCTATTTTTGGTAATCAACGTTAACTTTTAGCATTCTGTTCAAATATTTGCCATATTGATTCGCATTTCCAATATTATTTGCCCTAATTCAAAGTCTATTAATATTGGGCTTAGTTATTTACTTTACATTTATAAAATAAAGAGAAAATTTTTAAAAGTATTATATTTTTCTTTTAGTATTAATTAAGTAACCGCCCCACGCGCGTTGCTGATGATTCAGAATAAAAAAAATTCAAAGAAACACGTTACGATTACATTTAATTTACATTAAAAAATTGAAACGTATAAATAATTTTAAAATGAAAATATAACATGCAATGTACATTTGTATTGGAAACAATCTATCTTTACTAATGATGTATGTTTATACTCGTTATCCCACTTTCTGATTGGTTCATGTAAACAATGATACAGACTGCGTCATTCGCCAAAATAATAAATATCAACAGGACTGTTTCTCTTTAACACCTGAAAAAGTATTATTTGACTAGCTATAAACATTAGAGTGACTGAAGCAACTCTTTAGATTAACTAATCGTGTATTTTTAGTTGCAGATTGCATAATTCGCAAAGTGACAAAATCCACATGATGGTTTCCTTGAGTTAGAAAAAAGTATTTTTTTTTTAAAGTGTGACCTTGTTTTCTAACAGTGAATTATTCATTGTAAACAATGCCCGAGCTATGTTTCTTGGATCTTAGTTGTTGGGGAGCGGGTGTGTCCACTCTACCGCTTAGAAGCAACAGAGCGTACTGTATGAAAATCTTGAGTGTACGTTAACGTCCATAACAGTTAGCGGCTTTGCGGAGCTCCCTCGAGAGCCACATATTATACTGCTGCAAGGGCACCGGTCACGGCCGCTAGCTCGGTTTAATCATCGAAAGTCGTCTGCCGCCTTGTGCCAATTGTTGGGTGCGCTTTAAAACGAACATAGGCGACATATTCTCAAGGGGGATCCCGGGGCGTCAAATCGCATCATGCGGGGCACCTGCGGACGCACCTGATTCGCTTCAGCTAATAATTGTAGTAGCTTTTCATACCCATAGTGTTTTGCTTATTCGGAAACGAACGTAGGCGCCGTAGTTTTAAGAAGGGAGCCAGAGGCACCAAATTGCAAAAGGTCGGGACTCCGGTAGCCGCTCATTTTTCAAATTAGTGAAGAAATAGTATTTCATCACACCCATATGCTTTTGCATATTTTAAAACTAATGCAAGCACCATAGCGCTCACAAGAACGCCCGGGGCACCAAATAGCACCCTGAGGGGGGGGGGGGGGTGGGCACCGGAAGACACAACTAATCGATGTAGTGAGCGGCTGTAGCAACCCATCGAAAAATTAAAAATTGAATTTTTGCAGCAACCCTCCAAGGAATATTCCCATGAACTTCCCACATCATAATATATAATATATTTAAAGAAAATAATTTATTTTCTCGTTTTGAGCGAATTATTTCATACAAGCTTGTTATTAAAACGTTTTTACGCCATTTGTTTTTCAGTACTTAAAGTTATTTTAATACCATAGAATTTGATGCCTTAAAAGGTATTGCGCACCGAATGAAAATTTAATGCTGGTATAATAGTGCGAATTAGTAGTATAGAACAGCCTACTAATTTCAGAACAATTTTATTAATTTAAATTAATGGATTAAAAGTGCCCAAAATTTCACTCGCAGTTTCAATCTATGACGACAAACTGACGACTAACGACAGATTTAACTAAATACATATCTTTATTTTAAATTTTCTAGTATACAGAAAGCTAATTTCTATCTTTTTTTCTTGTATATGTTTACAAAGGTAGGTTCGGATCCCGTTGGGTTCTGACTGTTCTGACTTTACTTGGACTATATTCTGTACCTTTGTCTACCCTTGGCGTTGAAATATCACTCTCTGTTTACATTGCTATTTTAGTTACAAC